AATTCAACACGAGCAAATGTAAAGTTATGGAAATGGGACTAGGAGATAGGAGACCAAGGGACAGTACACAATGAAGGGGAACAGCCTACCTGTAACGACGCGTGAAAGAGACCTGGGGTGGACGTAACACCTAATCTATCTCCTGAGGCACATATTAATAGGATAACGACAGCAGCGTACTCTACACTGGCAAAAGTTAGAACATCATTCAGAAACCTAAGTAAGGAGGCATTTAGGGCGCTTTACACTGCCTACGTAAGGCCAGTCTTAGAGTATGCCGCCTGATCATGGAGTCCCCATCTGAAGAAGCATATAATGAAACTGGAAAAGGTTCAGAGGTTTGCAACGAGACTCGTCCCAGAGCTACGAGGGATGGGGTATGAAGAGCGCCTGAGGGAACTGTGCCTTACGACACTAGAAGAAGAAGGGAGAGGGGGGACATGATAGGAACGTATAAGATACTCAGAGGAATTGACAGAGTGGACATAGACGAAATGTTCACACGGAATAGTAACAGAACGAGAGGACATGGATGGAAGCTTGAAACTCAGATGAGTCACAGAGATGTTAGGAAGTTTTCTTTTAGCGTGAGAGTAGTGGGGAAATGGAATGCACTTCAGGAACAGGTTGTGGAAGCAAATACTATTCATAATTTTAAAACCAGGTATGATAGGGAAATGGGACAGGAGTCATTGCTGTAAACAACCGATGCTCGAAAGGCGGGATCCAAGAGTCAATGCTCGATCCTGCAAGCACATATAGGTGAGTACATATAGGTGAGTACACACACAACAAAAGTCATGGTGACAGGTTCTCCCCCAAGACGGTCCGTCACTCCTCACTGACGGCTCCTTCAGCACCTGACGGAGTGACGGCTCGGGGAGTGATGGCTCGGGGAGGGAGAGGAGGAGGGAGGGGCTGTGTGAGGTGTGAGGGAGAGCGTCAGGAGCTCCTGAGCTGACAAGGAGTGAGGTAGTGAGGCATCAGCTGTCAGCGACCTTGTCATGTCAGCGGGCTGTCACTCACTGTGCTGACTCCTGTCTGGGGCCGTTTTCTTCCTTGTCAGCACAGTGTGTGGTGTGTGTGTGTGTGTGTGTGTGTGTGTGTGTGTGTGTGTGTGTGTGTGTGTGTGTGTGTGTGTGTGTGTGTGTGTGTGTACTCAGCTGTGCACTCAGCAAACCCTTAACAAGTTAATGCTGAGGCTGCGGATTACATGTGCGTCCGGGTCCTGTGCTCAGGCAGACTGGTGCTCAGGCAGACTGCATTGTAGTTTGCTCCTGTTGCCTGTCCCCTGTTGCCTGTCCCCTGTTGTCCAGTCTAACGGCGTCACCTCTTACCGTTGTGTATTGCAAGTTTTCCCTTATCGCTTTGTCGAAGGTAACCTCCCTTCCCTCCCTCCCTCTCTCTCTGGAAGGTAATTCTTACCTTCGGCGGACGCCATCAACTACTCCTGGCTTCCATGTTTTTCCCTCATAATGTTTAGGATACTCTGAATATCCTGAGTAATGTTTAGGATACTCTGAATATCCTGAGTAATGTTTAGGATACTCTGAATATCCTGAGTAATGTTTAGGATACTCTGAATATCCTGAGTAATGTTTAGGATACTCTGAATATCCTGAGTAATGTTTAGAATACTCTGAATATCCTGAGTAATGTTTAGGATACTCTGAATATCGTGAGTGATGTTTAGGATACTCTGAATATCGTGAGTAATGTTTAGGATACTCTGAATATCGTGAGTGATGTTTAGGATACTCTGAATATCGTGAGTAATGTTTAGGATACTCTGAATATCCTGAGTGATGTTTAGGATACTCTGAATATCCTGAGTAATGTTTAGGATACTCTGAATATCGTGAGTGATGTTTAGGATACTCTGAATATCGTGAGTGATGTTTAGGATACTCTGAATATCGTGAGTAATGTTTAGGATACTCTGAATATCGTGAGTAATGTTTAGGATACTCTGAATATCCTGAGTAATGTTTAGGATACTCTGAATATCGTGAGTAATGTTTAGGATACTCTGAATATCGTGAGTAATGTTTAGGATACTCTGAATATCGTGAGTGATGTTTAGGATACTCTGAATATCGTGAGTAATGTTTAGGATACTCTGAATATCGTGAGTAATGTTTAGGATACTCTGAATATCGTGAGTAATGTTTAGGATACTCTAAATATCCTGAGTAATGTTTAGGATACTCTGAATATCCTGAGTAATGTTTAGGATACTCTGAATATCCTGAGTGATGTTTAGGATACTCTGAATATCCTGAGTGATGTTTAGGATACTCTGAATATCGTGAGTGATGTTTAGGATACTCTGAATATCGTGAGTGATGTTTAGGATACTCTGAATATCGTGAGTAATGTTTAGGATACTCTGAATATCGTGAGTAATGTTTAGGATACTCTGAATATCCTGAGTAATGTTTAGGATACTCTGAATATCGTGAGTAATGTTTAGGATACTCTGAATATCCTGAGTAATGTTTAGGATACTCTGAATATCGTGAGTAATGTTTAGGATACTCTGAATATCGTGAGTAATGTTTAGGATACTCTGAATATCGTGAGTGATGTTTAGGATACTCTGAATATCGTGAGTAATGTTTAGGATACTCTGAATATCGTGAGTAATGTTTAGGATACTCTGAATATCGTGAGTAATGTTTAGGATACTCTGAATATCGTGAGTGATGTTTAGGATACTCTGAATATCGTGAGTGATGTTTAGGATACTCTGAATATCGTGAGTGATGTTTAGGATACTCTGAATATCCTGAGTAATGTTTAGGATACTCTGAATATCGTGAGTGATGTTTAGGATACTCTGAATATCCTGAGTAATGTTTAGGATACTCTGAATATCGTGAGTGATGTTTAGGATACTCTGAATATCGTGAGTGATGTTTAGGATACTCTGAATATCGTGAGTGATGTTTAGGATACTCTGAATATCGTGAGTGATGTTTAGGATACTCTGAATATCCTGAGTGATGTTTAGAATACTCTGAATATCGTGAGTGATGTTTAGGATACTCTGAATATCGTGAGTGATGTTTAGAATACTCTGAATATCGTGAGTGATGTTTAGGATACTCTGAATATCCTGAGTAATGTTTAGAATACTCTGAATATCGTGAGTGATGTTTAGGATACTCTGAATATCCTGAGTGATGTTTAGAATACTCTGAATATCGTGAGTAATGTTTAGGATACTCTGAATATCCTGAGTGATGTTTAGAATACTCTGAATATCGTGAGTGATGTTTAGGATACTCTGAATATCCTGAGTGATGTTTAGAATACTCTGAATATCGTGAGTGATGTTTAGGATACTCTGAATATCGTGAGTAATGTTTAGAATACTCTGAATATCGTGAGTAATGTTTAGGATACTCTGAATATTGTAACACAAGATGTTTGTAACACTAAATTATTGTAAAGTATCCGAGTAACACTTCCTCTTGGATGCACTTGGTGTAACACTTTGTAATACTGCTAAACTATACACTTGATCACTAACTCTGATAACCCTTGACTGAATTAACCATGGCACTTCTCCAAGAAAAATGCTGACAACTTATTAACTATACGGAGGGTACAGGAGCAGACGACTGCTGACTCCTGTTAGCTGGCTGAGGGCTTTCCCTTCCCATAGCTCATGGTAAGCCTTATCCTACTAGTTTTACACACAGGAGGGTACAGGAGCAGACGACTGCTGACTCCTGTTAGCTGGCTGAGGGCTTTCCCTTCCCATAGTTCATGGTAAGCCTTACCCTACTAGTTTTACACAGGAGGGTACAGGAGCAGACGACTGCTGACTCCTGTTAGCAGGCTGAGAGCTTTCCCTTCCCATAGCTCATGGTAAGCCTTACCCTACTAGTTTTACACACAGGAGGGTACAGGAGCAGACGACTGCTGACTCCTGTTAGCAGGCTGAGAGCTTTCCCTTCCCATAGTTCATGGTAAGCCTTACCCTACTAGTTTTACACACAGGAGGGTACAGGAGCAGACGACTGCTGACTCCTGTTAGCTGGCTGAGAGCTTTCCCTTCCGTTCATGGTAAGCCTTACCCTACTAGTTTCTTCTGAAATACGACCCACCAGTAGTTTTATCAACCAGGTACTCAGTCACTGCTGGATGAATAGCTAAGGATTGGTGCCTAGTCAATCTTCCCCATAACTTCCTATAGCGTGGAGCCCTCTCTACACCCTGTAGCCTCCTCCATCAGTGTGCCCGCCAGGATCTTTGAGACAAGATGTATATATATGTATCTACGTATCTATGTGTGTGTATGCACATATCCGGGGCGCGGCTAGAGCTGACAGGCACATAGGTGTACCTGTCAGAGGTACAATAGACTTGGTGACAGGTACAAGCCTTGTCATATGTCAGCCCTGTCATAACGCAGCCGACCCCACTTGGTCTCTGTCCATTAACCACGTGACCCCAGCGGACCCCAGTGATCTGTGACCCCAGCGGACCCAAATTCCTATAGGGCTTCAGCTCCTGGACCCTGAATTTTTCAATGATTGTTTTTTGTAATTCTACATCAAAGCTCCGCTACAAATAGTTATAACAATCTCCCATGACAATCTCTCCCATGTAACAATCCTGATTGTGGTGGCTAGCCTACCCCATGAACCTGGGGTTCTGGGGACTAGTACTTGCACGGGATATGAGGACAAGGAGCTGGGATATGCGGACAATGAGCTGGGTTATGAGGACAAGGAGCTGGGTTATGAGGGCAAGGAGCTGGGATATGAGGACAAGGAGCTGGGATATGAGGACAAGGAGCTGGGATATGAGGACAAGGAGCTGGGATATGAGGACAATGAGCTGGGATATGAGGACAATGAGCTGGGATATGAGGACAAGGAGCTGGGATATGAGGACAAGGAGCTGGGATATGAGGACAAGGAGCTGGGATATGAGGACAAGCTGCTGGGATATGAGGACCAGGAGCTGGGATATAAGAAAGGAGTGAGAGAACAACCGCTCAAGCACTCGGGTCACCGAGGATCGAACCCCGACCATAAAAGAAGCTAGACCCTTCCCCCTCTCCCATTACCCTTGCGAACAGGTTGCTCATCTCTTCCTCACTTCCAGGGCTGCCGGAGAGTACGTGTTAGGGTCGCGGGAGAACCTGGTGGCCAGGGTGCGGGTCCACAACTCAGGAGAGGACGCCTTCCTGGCTAAGGTGGTTGTGAAGGTGCCACGGGGAGCCACCTTCAGCAGGTTCCTCCTCACTGAGGACACCTCAGACGACCTCACCCCCATCTGTTCCTCCACCACCAAGGCTGGCGTCGAGGAGGTAAGTCATTTATTATTTTTATTTTCTACCACAGACGTAGCCGGACATTTACAATGCTAACCAGCATATATACATTTTCTTCTGTCCTCCATGGACAGGGTGAGAGATGTGTTAAACATATAGTTCAGGGGTTTATTGAACACTCAACCACAGTTGGTGGTTGTGGTGCTTTTAAAATCCTAAGCTAACCTACAGACATAAATACATAGATACATAGAGTTATGTCTGTCCTACATAAAGTGGTCCATGTGTTCTTTACATAGTGTTGTTAATGTGCATTTACAAAGGTGAAATGTAATTCTGATCAGTTTCTACAAATACTTTATACACATACATATACATGCATATATATACATATATACATACACTTGTACACATACACACACATACATACATACACATACATTTATGTCTTTCCTACTCTGACAGGGTGAGATAGCTGATAAACTAGTGTGTTATTAAGCACTTAATCACTGAAGGTGATTAAGGTGCTTTTACAAGCTCAGGTTATATAGTTACATCACATACATACATTGTATAATTGATACATAGTAGTTACAGAGTTCAGCATACCTTAGCCCAGGAGGGCGAAAGTCAGTCAATATGGGACATTCTACATTATAATGTTCAAGAGAGTGCATGTTTTCTCTTTCACAAAGTTGACACATTGTGTACTCGACATTTGGGTTTTGAGAAAGCTGCCAGATACGTCTATACCCAGATACGTCTGGGTATAGGGCCTGTACCCGGGCCCTTTCTGGGCCTGTACCCGGGCCCTTTCTGGGCCTGTACCCGGGCCCTTTCAGGGCCTGTACCCGGGCCCCTTCTGGGCCTGTACCCGGGCCCTTTCTGGGCCTGTACCCGGGCCCCTTCTGGGCCTGTACCTGGGCCCTTTCTGGGCCTGTACCCGGGCCATTTCTGGGCCTGTACCCGGGCCCTTTCTGGGCCTGTACCCGGGCCCCTTCTGGGCCTGTACCCGGGCCCCTTCTGGGCCTGTACCCGGGCCCTTTCTGGGCCTGTACCCGGGCCCTTTCTGGGCCTGTACCCGGGCCCCTTCTGGGCCTGTACCCGGGCCCTTTCTGGGCCTGTACCCGGGCCCTTTCTGGGCCTGTACCCGGGCCCTTTCTGGGCCTGTACCCGGGCCCCTTCTATGCCTGTACCCGGGCCCCTTCTGGGCCTGTACCCGGGCCCCTTCTGGGCCTGTACCCGGGCCCCTTCTGGGCCTGTACCCGGGCCCTTTCTGGGCCTGTACCCGGGCCCTTTCTGGGCCTGTACCCGGGCCCTTTCTGGGCCTGTACCCGGGCCCCTTCTGGGCCTGTACCCGGGCCCCTATAGTATAGACGTATCTGGCAGCTTTCTATATCCCAGGCGTATTCTGGCCACTATAACATCACATTGCCGGGTTCTTGTTCTATTAGTCCCATATGTGAATGTCTCCTCACGATATCTATCAGTGCCACGGGCTGCTGGGAGTGCCACAGAGTGACCATGAGTGACCTCTCCACAGGTAATATGTGACCTGGGGAACCCGCTGCCCTCAGGGGCGGGCGTAGGGCTCCAGCTGGTGTTCCAGCCCACTCCCCTCCTCCTCAACCACACCAGTCTTGACTTCCACCTGCGGGCGTCCTCTGCCAACCCCGAGGACCCCGCCAACGCCCACGACAACCACGTCGCCCTCGCCCTCCCCGTCACCCTCAGGAGTGACATCAACATCAAGGGGTGAGTCTTGGAGTCAAGGGTGAGCGGTGAGAAGGGAAGTTTTTGAGGAGATTGTTAGGTTTCGGGTTAGTTGTGGGGTTAAGTGTGGGGGGAGAGCTGGAATAGATGTTAACATCTCCCGTCTCCGCAGCATTTCCTTCCCGGACGAACCATTCGACTACAACGCGTCGCAGTACGGCGTCGGGCTGGTCGGGGAGGGAGGTCGGGTCACCCACGAGCGTCAAGTGGGACCTGAAGTGATGCACGTCTACGACCTCACCAACCGCGGGCCGTCCGACCTGCCGGCGGCCCATATCTTCCTGCTGTGGCCGACACGGACGCTGGCCTACGATCCCCTACTATACCTGCTGGACCCGCCCTCCGTCTCCGCTCCTGCCCGCTGTCAACCATTCCACGATGTCAACTACCTCGGCCTCCAGGTGGGTTGTGTATAGTCACCCAAGTGTAGTTATAGGATGAGAGTTATACTCGTGGTGTCCCGTCTTCCCAGTATTTTTTGTCGTATAAAACTACTGAAGGTTTTGGCCTCCACCACCTTCTCGCTTAGCTTGCTCCAACCGTCTACTACTCTGCAAAAAAACGTTTTCCGACATTTTTTTTTCGTCATTGTTGTTTCCTTAGCTTGAATCTGTGTCCTTTTGTTCTTGAGGTTACTGGTTACAGGAATTCCTCTTTGCAAATTTTGTCGATTCCTTTTAATATTTTGTAAGTGGTGATCATATCACCTCAGCTTCTAGCCTTGGCATATTTAATGCCTGGAGCCGCTCTCCATAACTCTTGTTTTTTTTAGTTTCGGAAGCCATTTTGTAGCATGCCATTGCACCTTTTCCAGTTTGTGCTTCTTGAGACTTGGGCACCATACAACTGCTACATAATCTAATTTTGGTCTCACAAAAGTCATGAACAGTTTCTTTGGTATTTGACCATCTGGAATACTAATTGAAGTGGAATGCTCAGCTCAGTTGCACATTTTCTTAACACTCAAAGTGAAATGCCATCTGGTACACCTGCTTTATTTCTTCCTAGCTCCTTGAGTTGTTTTTCACTTCATCTCGAGACACCTCTATGTACTCTATGGTGTTCTCTAGAATTGACATTGTGTTTTGTTCTTTGAAAACCTCATTTTTTGCTCAAACACACGTTTGGCTAAGAACCAAACGAATGCTAGAGGCGTTCATTTAGTGTTTCACACATTTCTTTTTTCATTCTCATTGAATCTGTTCCCCGTTCTCAATCTCTGGATTTTATCCTTTACATGCAGCTTGCTTTTAATGAATTTATAGGAAAATGTCTGGATCTGTTTTACATTTGCCTGCTATACCTTTCTCAAAGTTAACCATCATGTGTGTTACTCTATTACCATAAAGAATACTTGATAACACCCCCTCCCCACACTTGCCTGGCCCCCACACTCACCTGTCCCCCCCACACTCGCCTGTCCCCTCCCCTATACTTACCTGGCCCCCACACTGCCTGGCCCCACATCTACTTGACACCCTCCACTCATCTGGCGTCACTGTTGGCCCCTGCAGGTTGAAGATGCCTCGTCTCGTCTCCAGCACCTGGTGGGCACTTCTGCAGGAGATGACCGTCCACACCGACGCCCAGAACACACTGACGAAGTCCTTAACGACCAACCGGTTGACGGAGAGTCGTCCAACCAACTCCACCGACACCGTCGCCACAGCCGTCATCACCACCACCCCCTGCAGGAAGAGAGAGGTCGACGGAGTGGCCGGAGGAGCGAGCGGGAAAGCCTGCAGAAGGAGTTATCGTGTGGCCCCACCAACTGTACCAGAGTGGTGTGTTCCATCGCTCCCTTGAGAGCGTCGGACAGCATAGTGGTGCGAGTTAGATCAAGACTATGGGTCGATACTATCCAAAAGGTAGGCAACTATACCTCCCCTCAACTTTTTATACTATCCAGATGGTGAAGAATCAGTCCTCCTCCCCTCCAACTGCTTCTATACTATTCAGATGGTAATCATCTCTTCCTGTGGCAAAGTTGACATGTATGCCGCCACGCCACAGCTTTATGAGGCATGTCATGATGCCAACTACCGGAGAACAGTGGTGTTGGGGGTCACTTGGGTCAAGGGGTATCCTAGTACTGAAGGGTATGGACGTGCCCCAGATCACTCTTGGACTAGCAATCAGCGTGTCAGTGTCGTGGTTTAGGAAAGTTTTCAGTAGATGGTATAAACACACATACTACGTAGTTCAATGAATAACAGTTACCGGAATGCTAAGTGGGCTACACAAGGAAGTCACACTAACATGATATTTCAATGAGAAACTCCGCTGGAGTGTATACAACTCCATTACCTATGCCAGAGTGCTAGGGGGGGGGGTTATGTGTGGAATCTGGACTGGCTTCAGTAGGCCAGATTTCACACATCATAAATCTCCAGAAGTCCTGTGGATTCACTGGCATTTCAGGTTGTATAAGTTTTACCATGTCATGGACCAGAGGTAAGGTGCACGGCTTGCAGGTTGAGGGTTCGAATCCCCTCATTGCTGTAGTTGATTTTCTAGGATGGGTTGTTACGGTAGCTGTCACTAGGAGGCGAGCGCGTGCTGTTATTGACCCATTCCATTGTTGGGAGAGATGAATAGTTAGTGACCTCTCACACGTCACGAGGGGAAGGTTAGTGACCTCTCACACGTCACGAGGGGAAGGTTAGTGACCTCTCACACGTCACGAGGGGAAGGTTAGTGACCTCTCACACGTCATGAGGGGAAGGTTAGTGACCTCTCACACGTCACGAGGGGAAGGTTAGTGACCTCTCACACGTCATGAGGGGAAGGTTAGCGACCTCTGAGGAAAGTTGTTTACATTAGGTAGATGAGTAAGTGTACAAGGTGAGGTAATTATTAGGGGAAAGCACCAAGCCATTCCGACTATATAGCACTGGGAAGGGGTCAGGATAAAGATTTGGGATGGGACGGGTGGAAGGAATGGTGCCCCAACCACTCGGACGACCAGTGGATGAAGTGACTAATGTATATGAAGTTTACCTTCTAGGGTATTCCTGTGCACCTGCCTTTATCAGTGTTTAACGCGCGTTTGGGATCATTCATCGGAAGAGGACTCGTTATTCACCATGTGCGAATAATGAATAATAAACGGATGTGTGTTTACTATTTGTGCCTACACAATCGAGCTATTAGCTCTTGGACTCCGCCTTTTTAACCACTCTGTGAGTTGACCAGACCACACACTAGAAGGTGAAGGGACGACGACGTTTCGGTCCGTCCTGGACCATTCTCAAGTCGATTGAGAATCCAGGACGGACCGAAACGTCGTCGTCCCTTTACCTTCTAGTGTGTGGTCTGGTCAACATACTTCAGCCACGTTATTGTGACTCCTCGCCTGCACTCCATGAATTAATTTTTCATTTATTTTAAATTGAAAATGGTTTTATTACAGGTCGGGATGCCAGAGGTGAAGATCTCGTCACGGCTGGTGGTGGTGGCGGCTCCCGAGGGCGGTGACCCCGGAGACTGGTGGCTGCAGGGGGACGCTGGCGACGGGGAGTCTCCTGAAGGAGAAGGCAGTGGAGGGGGCGTGGAGAGGAGCGTGTGGTCCAGGACGGTGACCACCGTGGTGAGGACGGGACCAGAGGAACATCGTAGCTCTCTCAAGTGGTTGGTGGTCGTCGGCAGCATCCTCACTGGGCTCCTCCTGTTGGCTCTCCTCAGTTTGTTGCTGTGGGCGGTGAGTGTGTGTTGTGTTTGTTGCTGTGGGCGGTGAGTGTGTGTTGTGTTTGTTGCTGTGGGCGGTGAGTGTGTGTTGTGTTTGTTGCTGTGGGCGGTGAGTGTATGTTGTGTTTGTTGTTGTGGGCGGTGAGTGTGTGTGTGGTGTGTTGCTGTGGGCGGTGAGTGTGTGTTGAGTTTGTTGTTGTGGGCGGTGAGTGTGTGTGTGGTGTGTTGCTGTGGGCGGTGAGTGTGTGTTGAGTTTGTTGCTGTGGGCGGTGAGTGTGTGTTGTGTTTGTTGTTGTGGGCGGTGAGTGTGTGTGTGGTGTGTTGCTGTGGGCGGTGAGTGTGTGTTGTGTTTGTTGCTGTGGGCGGTGAGTGTGTTGGTGGTGTGTTGCTGTGGGCGGTGAGTGTGTTGGTGGTGTGTTGCTGTGGGCGGTGAGTGTGTTGGTGGTGTGTTGCTGTGGGCGGTGAGTGTATGTTGTGTTTGTTGCTGTGGGCGGTGAGTGTGTGTTGTGTTTGTTGCTGTGGGCGGTGAGTGTGTGTTGTGTTTGTTGTTGTGGGCGGTGAGTGTGTGTGTGGTGTGTTGCTGTGGGCGGTGAGTGTGTGTTGAGTTTGTTGTTGTGGGCGGTGAGTGTGTGTGTGGTGTGTTGCTGTGGGCGGTGAGTGTGTGTGTGGTGTGTTGCTGTGGGCGGTGAGTGTGTGTTGTGTTTGTTGTTGTGGGCGGTGAGTGTGTGTGTGGTGTGTTGCTGTGGGCGGTGAGTGTGTGTGTGGTGTGTTGCTGTGGGCGGTGAGTGTGTGTTGTGTTTGTTGTTGTGGGCGGTGAGTGTGTTGGTGGTGTGTTGCTGTGGGCGGTGAGTGTGTGTTGTGTTTGTTGTTGTGGGCGGTGAGTGTATGTTGTGTTTGTTGTTGTGGGCGGTGAGTGTGTGTTGTGTTTGTTGCTGTGGGCGGTGAGTGTGTGTTGTGTTTGTTGCTGTGGGCGGTGAGTGTGTGTTGTGTTTGTTGCTGTGGGCGGTGAGTGTATGTTGTGTTTGTTGTTGTGGGCGGTGAGTGTGTGTGTGGTGTGTTGCTGTGGGCGGTGAGTGTGTGTTGAGTTTGTTGTTGTGGGCGGTGAGTGTGTGTGTGGTGTGTTGCTGTGGGCGGTGAGTGTGTGTTGAGTTTGTTGTTGTGGGCGGTGAGTGTGTGTGTGGTGTGTTGCTGTGGGCGGTGAGTGTATGTTGTGTTTGTTGTTGTGGGCGGTGAGTGTGTGTTGTGTTTGTTGCTGTGGGCGGTGAGTGTGTGTTGTGTTTGTTGCTGTGGGCGGTGAGTGTGTGTTGTGTTTGTTGTTGTGGGCGGTGAGTGTGTGTGTGGTGTGTTGCTGTGGGCGGTGAGTGTATGTTGAGTTTGTTGTTGTGGGCGGTGAGTGTGTGTTGTGTTTGTTGCTGTGGGCGGTGAGTGTGTGTTGTGTTTGTTGTTGTGGGCCGTGAGTGTGTTGGTGGTGTGTTGCTGTGGGCGGTGAGTGTGTTGGTGGTGTGTTGCTGTGGGCGGTGAGTGTATGTTGTGTTTGTTGCTGTGGGCGGTGAGTGTGTTGGTGGTGTGTTGCTGTGGGCGGTGAGTGTGTTGGTGGTGTGTTGCTGTGGGCGGTGAGTGTGTTGTGTTTGTTGCTGTGGGCGGTGAGTGTGTGTTGTGTTTGTTGCTGTGGGCGGTGAGTGTGTGGTGGTGTGTTGCTGTGGGCGGTGAGTGTGTGTTGTGTTTGTTGCTGTGGGCGGTGAGTGTGTTGGTGGTGTGTTGCTGTGGGCGGTGAGTGTGTTGGTGGTGTGTTGCTGTGGGCGGTGAGTGTGTGTGTGGTGTGTTGCTGTGGGCGGTGAGTGTGTGTTGTGTTTGTTGCTGTGGGCGGTGAGTGTGTGTGTGGTGTGTGTTGCTGTGGGCGGTGAGTGTGTGTGTGGTGTGTTGCTGTGGGCGGTGAGTGTGTGTGTGGTGTGTTGCTGTGGGCGGTGAGTGTGTGTTGTGTTTGTTGTTGTGGGCGGTGAGTGTGTGTGTGGTGTGTTGCTGTGGGCGGTGAGTGTGTGTGTGGTGTGTTGCTGTGGGCGGTGAGTGTGTGTGTGGTGTGTTGCTGTGGGCGGTGAGTGTGTGTGAGGTGTGTTGCTGTGGGCGGTGAGTGTGTGTTGTGTTTGTTGCTGTGGGCGGTGAGTGTGTGTGGTGTGTTGCTGTGGGCGGTGAGTGTGTGTGTGGTGTGTTGCTGTGGGCGGTGAGTGTGTGTGTGGTGTGTTGCTGTGGGCGGTGAGTGTGTGTGTGGTGTGTTGCTGTGGGCGGTGAGTGTGTGTTGTGTTTGTTGCTGTGGGCGGTGAGTGTGTGTGGTGTGTTGCTGTGGGCGGTGAGTGTGTGTGTGGTGTGTTGCTGTGGGCGGTGAGTGCGTGTGTGGTGTGTTGCTGTGGGCGGTGAGTGTGTGTGTGGTGTGTTGCTGTGGGCGGTGAGTGTGTGTTGTGTTTGTTGCTGTGGGCGGTGAGTGTGTGTGGTGTGTTGCTGTGGGCGGTGAGTGTGTGTGTGGTGTGTTGCTGTGGGCGGTGAGTGTGTGTGGTGTGTTGCTGTGGGCGGTGAGTGTGTGTGGAGTGTTGCTGTGGGCGGTGAGTGTGTTGGTGGTGTGTTGCTGTGGGCGGTGAGTGTGTGTTGTGTTTGTTGCTGTGGGCGGTGAGTGTGTGTGTGGTGTGTTGCTGTGGGCGGTGAGTGTGTTGGTGGTGTGTTGGTGTGCAATGACTGCAATTGTGTGGAACGTTGTGAGTTTGCATCTGGTGGTCAGCTCAGCAAAAGTTCTTGTTATCCAACCAGTCATTTTCTTACAATTGTGTTCTCTAAAGGTTAAGGTCTTCCGACATTATTCCTCCCAAATCCTTTACATTGGTCTTTCGTTCTATAGTGTGATTTGACTCTGTTTTATATGTGGTTTCCGTTTTATATGTTTTATATTTTCCGTAGTACAGGAGCTAGAATTAATTTTCATTAAAGATATTTTTTCTGTGGCATATTGAAAGGTCTGATTTACATCAGATTGGAGGTTTGCTGTGTCCTCTATGTTGTCTACTCTCATGAAAATCCTGGTGCCATCAGTACTATAGTTTGTGTCCTTGTCTATGTCCGATATGAGAGAGTACTGGAGCAAGCACAGTACCCTGGGGGACTGAACACTGGAACAAGCACAGTACCCTGGAGGACTGAACACTGGAGCAAGCACAGTACCCTGGAGGACTGATCTTTTCACGGTGGATAATCCGGATTTTACTGTGTTGACTTTTACACTCTCGGTTGTTAGAAAATTGAAGATCCATCATCTTGTTTTCGCAGTAATTCATTTTGAGCGCGTTTTGTGCGCAATATTCATGGTCACATTTGTCGAAAGCTGTTGCAAAGTCAGTGTATATTACATCTGCGTTTTGCTGGTCTTCCATGACACCTGAGGCCATGTCATGGTGATCTAGTAACTGTGAGAGACAGGAGCGCCCTGCTGTCAACCCGTGTTGTCCAGGGTTATGTAGACCTGTGATTTCATGTGTGTTGTGATCTGACTTCTTAGCACTCTTTCATAGATTATTATTTTAGAGTTGCTGGTCTATAATTTTCTCCCTTCTTTATGGAGTGGTGTTATCTCCACTGGTGTCAGTATGTCGGGGACAATACCAGTATCTAAGATCTGTCTCTAAAAATATGTTGAGGGGCCTATGATAGTGTTTTTTTTTTAATTCTTGATGAATCTGGAGTTGCAGGAATGAGGGCCTGGGTGCAAAGTGCACCGCATATTGTCAATGGCCACTTCAAAGTCCAGTATAGTTAAGGTGGGATCTTATATGTGATTTGATGTGATCTTCATCACATGAAGAATTCGTTTGAGTTATCATACTGTAGCCTCAGCCTCAGTTCCGCAATTTGTTTTCTTCACTTGTAAAGGGAAGACTGTTCCTGTTAGTGTCTCTGTCTCCCTATCTCTCTCTCTCTCTCTCTCTCTCTCTCTCTCCTCTCTCTCTCTCTCTCTCTCTCTCTCTCTCTCTCTCTCTCTCTCTCTCATCTCTCTCTCTCTCTCTC